TTTATTTTAAGAGAAATTCTAAAAGGCATATACAGAAACTGAGAGTCCATGGAAAAATGAAATATCTTTTTTTTTTTTTTTTGAGACGAAGTTTCGCTCTTATTGCCCAAGCTGGAGTGTAATGGCACGACCTCAGCTCACTGCAACCTCCGCCTCCCGGGTTCAAGTGATTCTCCTGCCTCAGCCTCCCGAGTAGCTGGGATTACAAGTGCACACCACCACCATGCCCAGCTAATTTTTTGTATTTTTAGTAGAGATGGGGTTTCACCATGTTGGCCAGGCTGGTCTCAAACTCCTGACCTCTGGTAATCCACCTGCCTCAGCCTCCCAAAGTGCTGGGATTACAGGTGTGAGCTACCGTGCCTGGCCAAAAACATGAAATATCTTGAAACTATTATTTGCTTAAAGATTCAAGAAACTTAGTCCCTGACATAAAGGTAGAGATTGTAGTAAAAACCTTTATTTCCCATCATTTACTGTTCTCTGCAGTAAGTACAGTAAGTTCTTTTTTTTTGAGCCCCAAATAATATAAATACTAAATAAACTTAGCTTTATCTTTTGCCCCAAAACATAGTAACCATGGAACAGGAGCCTCAAATACTTTATTTTGTATGTCACATAGTTTGTATGGGAAAGCAAGTATTTAAAATGACTAAAAATATCTAAATTCACTTTTCTCACCAAAGTATTTTAAGTAGCCTTAGTAGGCATTGCTGAGGTTCTAGGCTTCAGTTGCATATTTTCTTTTCTTTTTGAGACAGAGTCTTGCTCTGTCACGAGGCTGGAATGCAGTGGCGTGATCTCGGCTCACTTCAACCTCTGCCTCCCAGGTTCAAGCAGTTCTCTGCCACAGCCTCCTGAGTAGCTGGGACTACAGGTGTGCGTCACCATACCCAGCTAATTTTTGTATTTTTAGTAGAGACAGATTTCACCATGTTGGCCAGGATGGTCTCGATCTCTTGACCTCATGATCTGCCTGCTTTGGCCTCCTAAAGTGCTGGATTACAGGCATGAGCCACCCCACCCACCCTAAGTCGCATATTTTCAAAGATTTGTCACATAAGTCATGGTACTTAAAATGTCTTTATATGCAATGACTATATTTAAAGCTCGTTGTGCTTTACATTACCATGTAGCATTGAATTGTGGCCATCTGTTTTGTTAAGGGGCCAGTGTCGACCATGGTCAATGGCTGGACACCCCACTCCATGCTGCAGCGAGGCAGTCCAATGTGGAGGTCATCCACCTGCTAACTGACTATGGAGCTAACCTGAAGTGTAGAAATGCTCAGGGCAAAAGTGCACTTGATCTGGCGGCTCCAAAAAGCAGCGTGGAGCAGGCGCTCTTGCTCCGTGAAGGTAAGCAAAGGCTGGGTATCCATTCCTCTTCTATAAGCACAGTCTCTCTCCTTCCTGTCTCATCTGTAGCATTTTTTCCTTTTTCTTTTCTCTTTTTAATTGAACGTGGCATTGTGGGAGGTGACACGCTCTGTCATCACTGACCTGTCTTCTAGGATTTTATATGCTGTGTATATTCACTTACAACCAAAGGGCATTTACCTATAACTGGAGTGTTGCTTTGTATTTTCCATAACAAGAAAATAACCAGAAACCTTGTTTTTATCCCGAAAATCTTGAATTTCCATATCTATCCTGGTATAAGCATATGACTGAGTAAACCAAAACTCTGCTTTGTAATATTAGGAGACAGTCGGATGGCGAATTCAAAAGACTTGAGTCAGAGTCAGCAGGGGAGGACACAGAGAATTTCAGAAACCCTACTAAAGGGTGAGGTTGCTTTCCTGTTCTCCAGATCAGGGAGTAGGTGGGTCTGCAGTCTTCATTGCATCACTCCCATTTCCACCATGGGCATTAAGAGCAATTATTATTATTATTATTTTTTTGAGACAGTGTCTCGCTCGCTCTGTCACCCAGGCTGGAGTGCAGTGGCACCATCTTGGCTCACTGCAACCTCTGCCTCTCAGGTTCAAGCAGTTCTCCTGCCTTAGCCTCCTGAGTAACTGGACAACAGACACCTGCCACCACGCTCAGTTAATTTTTGTATTTTTAGTAGAGACGGGGTTTCACCATATTGGTCAGATTGTTCTTGATCTCCTGACCTCAGGTGATGCACCCGCCTCAGTCTCCCAAAGTGCTGGGATTATAGGTGTGAGCCACCGCTCCTGGCCAAGAGCAACTATTGATGCCAGAAAAGGAAAGGTGAGCATATGAAATGCTTCATATCTCCAATTCAGAAGAGAACCTCTTATGTCTATATAGTAAGAAAATATTTTCTGAGCCTATATGGATTATTTGTATGCTTGGAGAATATTAAAGATAATCATAATTATTCAGCTTTACGTGTGCCAGGCACTGGGCTAAATTGGAAACATAGATCAATCTCACTGAATTTTTAAAACTTTAAAGCAGCGGGAACTTTATATGGTAGTAGCTGGTTGCTATGCCAGGTACAAATGGGAAAATAAAAGCGTAGAGAAGGTCACACAGCTAGCTACATTATAGAATTAGGTAGGATTCTGAGTCGCCTGACCCCAGAATGTACACTCTTAATGTTATGAGGCCCCAACCCGGAATCTTCTGAAACAACATTCAGTGAGGAGGGTCTTATTTCACTCACCAGTTCCATTTTGTGAAACCACCCCATCATATATACCTTCCAAGTAGAATGCTTGGTTTTAACTATTTTAGGAATAGTCTTTCCAAATCAGTGCTTCTTAAGATTTAACATGCATATCAGTTCACCTGGGGATTTTCTTAAAATGCAGATTCTTATTCAGGAGGTTTAGGATGGGGCCTGTGACTTTGCATGTCTAGCAGGCTCCCACGTGATGTTGATGCTGCTGGTCTAAGGACTACACCTTGAGTACCACTGGTCTAGATGATGCTGATGATGATGATTATCATTATTATTTAGATGGAGTTTTGCTCTTGTCGCCCAGGCTGGAATGCAGTGGTGCACAATCTCGGCTCACTGCAACCTCTGCCTCCTGAGTTCAAGCAATTCTCCTGCCTCAACCTCCTCAGTAGCTGGGATTACAGGC